TTTTTTTTTTTTTTTAATTTTTTTTTTTATCTATTTGATGATAAGCAAACAAAAACATTATGAGGCGATAAGTACTACACTACTTTATATTTTTTTTGAATTAATTAATAAATAAAAAATAGGTTTCTTAAAATAAAACACTCGAACTGCCCAATATGAGCAGCACAGTAAAGCACCATTTCTTCTCATCTTTTGTTTCTGAAACAAACCGGTCTCTCTCTGTTTCCTCTCAAAACCGAGTTGTGAGTGAGTGAGAAGCAGACCGAGTTGTGAGTGAGTGAGAAGCAGAACAGAGGAATATAGAGATGTTTAGAGTGAGAAAACAAGTTTGTTTTGGGGGATAAGATAAAGATGTGGAAATACAAATACTAGCAGTTTTTTCATTTCTTCTTCTTCTTCTTCTTCTTCGCAATTCTCATTTTTTTCGCGCAGGTTGGATCTGTTGGTTGTTCTTCCTTGTGCCTTCTTTATTTTTGCTGGGTTATGTATGTGTTTTGGGTGTTCAATCCATGCTCTTGTATAGCTTTCTTTGTTTGTTTTTTCGTGTGTGTGTGTGTGTGTGTGTGTGTGTAAAGGTTGGATCTTTACTCATTTTTGTGCTTTGCATGTGCTCTGATTCACCCTTTTTGTGGAGGATTTGAACACCCTTTTTTCTCAAATGGGTTCTTAGTATTTTCTGTTTTTGGGTGCGTGTGAATTTGCTGTTTTTGGGTGCGTGTGAATTTTTGTTGGAGAATTAATATTTAATTCTGGGCTAGTTTTGTTTTGGATAACGTTTTGCTTATCTGTCTGGTAGATAGGATTTGCTTATTGTTGCATAGCTTTTTTTACTCTGTCCTTTGCTGTTCTTTTTCCTTTTCTTGTTTTTTTTGCCATTAATGGTTGTTGGTATTTAAAATTTGAAATGGAACATTCATTTCTCACTAGATCTACAAGGAAGAGCAAAACTAGAAGATTTCAAATGTTGCTACATTTATCCTGTCACCACATATAAATTTTGAATCAACTATTCCTTTGTTGCTGCATATGTAGACTGAATAAATGAAAAATGGATTCCTCGGAGGCCGCAAAGGTTATCATCGACAGAATCTCGAGGCTAGAACCGGAACACATTGCGAAAAAGATAATCGGCTACATTTACTTTCAAGGCCTTTCGGACCAGGAAATGATCCGGTTGGCATTAGGGCCCGACTTCTTAATCCACAGCTTGATCCAAAAGGCCAAAACCGCTCGTCTACTAGCTCCGGCACCTCCTGTTATATCTCCCCCAATTTCCCCCACGATGAATCCCGACCCTCCTTTCCAGCACAGCCCGTTTCGACACGTTTCGCCCGCTCGGTTCTCAGCCCAAGCAGGCCCAATCCGGAGAATGAACCCTCCTCACTGGGACCTGCAGCTGGGCCTCGAGCAGCCTCGGGTCCCACCACCAATGCACAGCCCGCCTTTCAAAATGATACCGTATTCTGTGGGAGTGGAGGACCCTCTGGCGGAGGCTGCGCATTCGAATTTCCCGAGCGATTTCTACTGCAATAGAAGGAGTTCACCGGGCCCGGGCCCACTTGACTATCATCCCGTCAAAACATGTCATTACTTCAGCAAGGGCTTCTGCAAGCACGGCAGCGATTGTAGGTACTTCCATGGAGAACAGTTTCCAGATGGCTGCTATCCTCCTTTGTTCGGTGCAAACCAGTATGACGTGGCGCCAGCTGGTGGGGCGGACGAGCACCTGTTCTCGCCAGGCTCCCTTGAGAAGCTTGAGCTGGAAATAACGGAGCTTCTGAAGTCGAGAAGGGGCCACCCTGTGTCGATCGCATCCCTCCCGATGATGTATTATGAGAAATACGGTCGGACTCTGCAGGCAGAAGGGTATTTGACAGAGAGTCAAAGACACGGAAAAGCTGGGTATAGCTTGACAAAACTTCTTGCTCGGCTGAAAAGCAGCATCCGGTTAATTGACAGGTGTAACTGTTGGGATTTTGTTTTTACATTTTCTTTTACTGTTTGTACTTTTGGTGCCATTGAGATACTGTTTATTTATTTATTTGATGTTTTCATTGTGTTGCTGTAGGCCCCATGGGCAGCATGCGGTGATACTGGCGGAGGATGGTCCGAAATATATGGATATCCAGGGAGAGAGGAATGATCCAGGCCCGATTGTTAGCGGTTCACGCCAGATATATCTGACTTTTCCGGCAGAGAGCACGTTTACTGAGGAAGATGTTTCTAGTTACTTCAAGTAGGGCCATTTGAATTCGAGTTTCCATCTAATCAGTAATGTAATCGAAAATTGTTTTAACTATTTTTGTTGGTTTTTATTGTGCAGTACTTTTGGAGCAGTGCAGGATGTTAGGATTCCATGCCAGCAGAAGCGAATGTTTGGTTTTGTGACTTTTTTGAGTGCAGAAACCGTGAGGCTAATTTTGTCCAAGGGGAATCCACATTACGTGTGTGGTGCTCGTGTTCTGGTGAAACCATATCGAGAAAAGTCGAAGCTTGTTGAAAGGTATAATTTTTTAACATTTTGCTTATGTATACACTTGTTTGCTACTTCTTAACAGAACTAAAGTATATCCTTTTTGTCTATATGACTTACTTTTTCATTTCTGATGCAGAAAGTACCTGGAAAAATTTGACCATCCTGTTTATTACCACCCACACCCTGCGGATATTGACCCAGAACGTCAAACGAGTAAGACACTCTAATCCACTTTTCACTTAGGTACTGTTGTGATATTAATTCAAGAGAATTGCTATATTCTCCATGTTTATCAAAGTTATTTGATATTTGTTATGATATGAGATTTCTATCTCGGAACATGTCACGTGAATTTATCTGTGGAGCCCAGGCTGGGAATCATCTAGAATGTTCCGGAGGCAGCTAATGGAAGAACATGAACACGCCATGGAGTTAGAGACAATGCGCCTCTCACAACTCCAGTTAGGCTGCAAATCTTTCCCCATCCGGAATTGTTTGGGTTATACCATGGATGAGCTCAAAGTACCTCAAGGTCTTGAACTTCATTTTTATACTTTTGTTTGGTCCCGCAAAACTCTTTGATTTTTATTTTTTTTAATTTAATCTTTGATGTCCATACAAAATTGCCTATCAAACATTAGCTGAGCACCTCAAATTTCTATCTGCAGAGCGGTTCAATTCACTGCTCGATGCCCTGAACAGTGGGTCTACTAATGATGACAACACCAAGCTTCCATCTAACAATTGTGGTGACCAGGAGAGGTTGGCATGATTTCTATACATACATACATACATATATATATATACACACTATACAATCTTCGTTTCTTGATTTTCTCTATATTCTTTTTAACTATTTTTTTTTTCTTTTTTTTTTTACATTTTTTACAGTTCACAAGGACTTAATCTACCGGAAAGTCCCTTTGCATCTGCAGTGGCTAGCAGTGTTTCAGCAGTTATATAGTCAGGAGGACAATACAGAAAACACATTATAGAGTTTATTTAGGAAAAAAAAGTTTACATGATTCCTTTAGTCAACAGAAATACGCATCTTCTTTTTTTTTTTCAGTCATTTCATTCTCTACCTAGTTGCTGCATAATCAAAAATCCTCCGTAAGTTAACACAAAATGCTTAGAAGAATTTTCTCCCCACTACTTGGGTCGAATGAGGTAGGAAAGATTCCATATGATACAGAGAAGTAGCTGAAAAATGTAGTTTACGACCTAGGATTCAGGAGATAGCAACAAAGCAAAAGCACCTGCCAGTATATATGACGCGGGTATATGCGAACTGGGTCAAGTAAATAACTCGTTTACAGACATCGTTTTACTGGTTCAGAAATAGTTTCCGCTTTCGATTTATATTGTGAATGCCTTATCCGAGGTGGTTGTTGTCTTATTGAAATATTTTAAATTTTCCCTTTTATTTTTTTGTTTCTGTTTTTATGTCTTGTTTCCATTGAGGGTGATAAGCAGATTATATCTTTTGTTGATTGTCTTGGATTGTTTTACATTCCTTGTCAATTGCTATCATGTTGGATCTTGGTGGGTGATTGCTCATGCATGACTGGATTAAATGATAGGGTTTGATTGGCACATACATCTTCTTATCTTACTCAAGTAAATTATTTTGTCCAGCTGCCCATGGTCATGGATAACTGAGGAGAAAATTGATTGATTGGTTGGATTCAACAGTAGTGGTCTTTGTGGGCCATATCCAAATGGGACCATCTCATGATATCAAGCCCAATCAGCCAACCAAACCGACCCTTAGACCATCCTTCTCCCCAACTCAACTCAACTTAATAATTAAAAATTATTTCTCTCTCTTCTACATACACAATTCAATCTTCCAACCTAATTAATCTTTATCTCCAACTCAACCTAAATAAATATTTTAATTTAATTTACTTAAAAATTATAATTTTATTCAAAAATATATCAAGTGTGGTCTCTATTTGTAGAGAATGAAAATATAGGAATTTAAATATTTTTTTTATTTTTTTTTAAACAAAAAAAATACACTTATCCAATCAAAATGAAACAAGTGTCCCATTTACAGGTCACGACCCAAGGTCACAATGTGACCTGGGTCGATGAATTTTCATGACCTTCCCTTCTTTTTTTTTTTTTTTTGGTTTTTAATTGGTGACCCACTAGGTTGGGTCACCGCTAAAGGTAGTTTTAGAGCATCTCCAATATAATTATACATTTTCTTTTTAATGGCATGAAGAAATGAAATTAACAAATTGTGTCACCAAAGATTGTTAATATTAATCGTGGTATAATTTGACACGTGTAAAAATATATTTGGTGGAGAAGAGAGAGAATTTGAATAATTAATATAATATATAATAAAAGTTATTAAGTATTTCTACCTCTATAAAGTCTTCTAGAAGATTTTATTTTTGCCATAATGTTTCTTATATGGAAACTGTTTGTGTTTTGAATAATAACTGTTCTGAAATTCCTAAAGAATGAAAGTTTGGACGAACTTATTGTTGTGAATTTTCTCCAGACAAAAAAAGAAAAAGTTTGGAGTTAAAAAATAAAAAAAAAAAAAAAAAGAATTCCGACATAAACAAAGGTGGAAATATGTATGTGTGACAATATAGATGCAATCAAACAACAATTAAGTGAAAAAAAAAAGGCAAAAATAAATTTATTTTTCCATAGAGGGCAAATATGTAATTTTACTATATCGGATCAATTATCAAGAAAACAAATGCATAAAACAGTCATCAACATCAACATACCCAGTATATTCCCAAACAGGTTGGGGTCTGGGGGGTCAGTTGTACGCAGACCTTACCCTTGTAAATTACAAGGAGGCTGTTTCCATAGCGACCCATGGTGCGTTGCGTCGTTTGATATATTTTTTCTAAAAACTTCACTAATAGAAGAAGCACTAGAATTTAATTGAGCCATTTTGATCTAGTCCATTATTTGCACGATGCCAGAAGAATTGTCAACACTGACTCTTCCAGCTCCATTTTTTTTTTAAATGCATAAAACAATATATCCAGAAAATCTTACCTTGCGTCAACCATACCCAACAAACTATAGTATGCACCAAATCACTACAATGCAGTCTTGGTAAACAAGATAAAATTTATCTTGTCTTAGACCAGCCAACAAAAGTGTCCTTATACTTGACCAATATTGCAACTAGCCCAATCTTTTGCCCTTACTGCATAATGAAGTCTCAATATTAAATTTTGAACACAATTATTGATGTCTACAAGGAGTGAACACAAGAATATGTGGTAAGTAAATGTATCACTATCAAAGTGAGGCTCTCAGCGACGCACTCCAGGTCTATTTCCTCAATTGAGATCAATCTTCCATCATGGACCTGCTGAACAACGGAATAATTAAGAGTAGTGCTCGTAAAACATACTGGAATATCACAGAAAAGCTATGCATTTGAACTTTGCATGTCCCT